GGGGAAGGGCTAAGGGAAGTGGGAAACTAATAACAATGAGTACAAACATGAAGAAAATGTTCTAAGACTGATTGTACAACTCTTCCTGCTGTGATTGAGCTATTGAATGGTAGGATATGTGAATTATATGTGAATAAGTGTGTTGAAAAAATAAGAATACAGTGGCAATATGAATTTGTGAAAAGCTTAAAAATTCAAATATTTTCAAAAGATTTCACTGGAAACTAAGGGCTCTCACCCTTGAAGCCCCGTCAGTTCTCAAAGGAAGGTCTCAAGATTCGCAGACTGAGCATCACTTTGGCCCTCATCAGAACTACACACTCTCAGTTCCCCACCTTCCAGACCTACCCACTGGACGGCAGATTTGAGGGTGGAACCCAATTGTTTGTGTTGTAATAAGTCCTCAGGGTGAACCAGACACCGCTTTACACAACCAGACAGGTAGTATGTCCAGGTAAACACCTCACCTCCCTCTGCAACCCTCAACCCAACTAGCAAGCCTCTGGAGGAGCAGACCCCAGAGACCACTTCCTACCGTGCAGTGATGAGCGGGAGCTCCATGCCGCACCCTGCCAGCCAGAATGTTGCATTGTAGACAGGAGAGGATCCAACGACCGAGACGGATTCCACCAGATTCCCACCTGGTCTAGCTGTTGCAGAATCGGCCTGAGAAACTAGAGAGCAGAGGCCAAGTCTCAGGAACCAGGAAGGGAGAGCTGCCGTGTGGAATCCCCCAGGGAGATAGGGAGCTACTTGGACCTTCACACCCACCGCCACTGAGTCTGTGCTGACTCATTGTCACTCTACTTTCAGCTTCTGAGAATAGACATCTTCCTGGGACACTAGAGAGCCCCAGCCCCCAAAGGCCCCTCTCTGCAGCTGTGCAATGTCCAGGCACAAGAGAGAAGAGGGGTCTGTTTTATAGCTAGACTTCAATCGCAGGCTTAGTAACCCTCAGAGTCTATCCTTGGAGGGAATGAGATGCTACAAAGAGCAGCAAAGTTGAGCCCCAGTGTCGCACAAGGTTTGGTGGAAAAGGGAAAGTGGGTGAAAGGTGGGAGTTTGAAGTCCGGAAGGCAAACGACACTACTTTGTTTTGGTGATGGGGGCAGCATTGGAAGGACCCTTAGTGAGCATGCTGTCCCAAAGACTTGTGGACAAGCAGAGCCAACTGTGACCAAGAGAGGTCAGGTGTAAGGCATCATCAGAACAAAAAATCTTACCATAGTGAATGATGGGGG